TTTTGATTAAATTCCTTAAAAGAAATCGATTATTTTCAAAAATTTTAATAAAATTCTTTGCGAGAATTCAATTATTTCCATAAAAGAGCAATTCCACGGGTAGTGATCTGAAGAATTTTTGATGATCTCATCGATTTCAACGAAACTTTCTGGATTTGTTCTTTGCTATGTGTCGAATTTATATCCGAAAAACATTTTCCAAAATTTTTGAGATATCTTATTCAAAATTTTGGTCATTTTTTCAAAAAAAGCATATAACTTTTTTTCATTTTATTCGATTGAGACCGGTTTTTTTCTACAATACTCACAATGAGATGCAGTTTAAAGAAAAAAATAGTTCATAAAAAAAAAATTTTTGAATTAATTTTTTGAAAAACTACCATCTCTTTTTTAAAATTTTTTTTTTATAGTTGTAGGTTATGATTCTTAAAAATTTTATTAAAATTCGCCATCAATTTAAAAATTTGTTGATAAAATTCTTTATGAGAATTAAATTTTAAGAAACATTTAATAAATTATTTATTTTTGTATTTAAATAATTGAATTCTAATAAAAATTGATTAAAAAATAAATTTCATTTAAAATTTTAGATAATAATTGAATATTAAAATCAATATAACGTGAATTTTTATAAATAATTGAATTTTGAAATGAATTTTTTTGAAAAATGTTAATTGAATTTTTTTTATGTTATTTGAAGTCTTTATTTTTTAATATACATTTAATTTTAGAATTTACAAATAATTGAAATTTCGTATAATTGAATGTAAACAAATGGATTTGAAAATTGTCAAAGAACTTTTAGTTAAAGAATTTTATTTAAAAGTTCTTGAAGTTATTTGACTTGGACTGGTTATATTTTTATTTATAAATGGTCCATAATTTTTCATTTTTGGTCCGTAAAGTACGTATTTTTAAATACTTCAACTGGTTCGAGCCCTGATATTTTTTTGAAAAATGTTAATTTTATATCCCAGGCGCGAAAGACCAGTGCTGACGATGGGTTGAAACTTGACTGAGTCTTGAACGCCCAGCGTGGGTAACCCAGAGTTGAAGCAGTCTTTATATCATTGCTACTCAATATTGGTTCAGCATGGGACACCAATGTTCGTCCCATGCTCGATTTAACACTCGGTCAATCTTCGTGAGTGGAGCTTCAACATCCAGTCTGTATTCAATCTTGAATCAATCTTGATAGTTTATTTATTACCGTGTGCACTTACCAATATTAGATATAAATATTTATAAATTATTTAATATTAAAATATTATTTCTGATAATTTTTAGTAATTTTTTATACTATTTAAAAATTATTATTCTTATTATTAATTATTATTCATTATTATTAAATAATATAATAAGTATTATTATTATTATTGTTATTAAGATATAAATTGGTAAATAAATATTAATATTTATTTAGTGTATAATATTTATATTAATTACACTCGATTCTTGTTATAACGAATCTCGTTACAACGTTCTCTCGTTATAACGAACATTAAAACTCTCGATACAACGACAAAAAAAACACGAACGAATTTAAGAATTTAATTTAACCAAAATTTTGGTTAACTCAAAAAAAACGACAAATTTAATCGACTCTTAAATTTATTTAACCTAAAGAATCTAGTGATCCGATTATTATTAAAAATACTTACTTTTTCTTTAAACTGATTTCATAATTCAAAAACTTTTAATATAAATAAACATACTTTACGAAAAATTTAGCACGTATTTGACGTTTGAATAGAACGTGAAGTAGGATCCTCTCCTTTCGTCGTAATCGAGATTTTGAAGTCCCGAGATCGTCGTTATAACGAGAATCGAGTGTATATAAGATTCATATAAATAAAATTAAATTATATATTATTTTTTTTCTTGCAATGTCAAATTATTATTTTCAAAGTTCAAGAGTTTCGTTTATCTGAAAAATTTTCAGTGAAAAAATGTTCATTAGGTAGTAATAAATATTTATGCCTAGTAGTTTTACATTAGGATTAACTGTTTACTGAATATTATCAAAAATATATTTTTCGTCAAACGCGCGCGACTAAACACAAATAACCTTGAGACTTTACAGCGCGACGTTGCGATTGTCGTGCTCCCACCATCCCATCTACTCAATACACTCCCCGCCTGTGACGTCATGAGGGGAAAGCATTGAGTAGATGGGATGGTGGGAGCACGACAATCGCAACGTCTCAAGGTTATTTGTGTTTAGTCGCGCGCGTTTGACGAAATAGTTATTTTCGTAACAAGGGCGCAAAATAGGTGATTGCGACGATGGCAAAATGAAGGGACCGAGGGGACACAATTTCGCGCCCGAGGCGAAGCCGAGGGAGTGAAAGTGTCCCCGAGGTCCCGAAATTTCGCCAAAGTCGTAATCACCTTTGCGCCCATGATGCGAACATAATTTTTTGTCCTAACTGCATGGAAAGTATGGCATTGAGGGCACGCACGATTAAACGCTCATATTAGTTAAAAATTAAGCTCTATATAAACATTATATCGAATGAAGTCTATAATGATAGAAGTTTTAAAATAGAAATAAAAAACAATGTATTCTGGAAACATAGTATTTATTTAGAACGTAGTAATTAATAATTGAACAAAACTGAAACAAGAACTTTTAAAATTGACAATTTTGATAAACGAAATGGGAACAAAACCAAATATCTCATTATTTTTTTAGAGAAAATAAAAAAAAATTGCAAATTTTTATAGACAAAATAAAACAAGTTGAAAATGTTTGCAGTTTTATAGTCAACATAAAAAGAAAGTCGAAAATGTCGCATTTTAATGAAGAAAATCAAATAATTAACAAGCGGGCCGTAAAGTATTTTCCGCCCGCTCGGAGGTAGGGGAAGCGGGCGGAAAATACTTTACCGCCCGCTGACGTCATACAAGCGGGCGCAAAATACTTTTACGCCCGCTTCTCCCACTCCCGGGCGTAATGTGTTACTTTGCGCCCGCCTTAAGTGCCCGAAATGACATACTTTCCGTGCAGGTAGGACAAAAAATATATTTTTGATAATATTCAGTAAACAGTTAAACCTAGTGTAAAACTACTAGGCATAAATATTTATTACTACCTAATGAACATTTTTTCACTGAAAATTTTTCAGATAAACGAAACTCTTGAACTTTGAAAATAATAATTTGACACTGTGCGAGAAAAAAATAATATATAATTTAACTTATTAAATTATCAGAAAAAATATTTTAATATTAAATAATTTATAAATATTTATAGATAATATTGTACAGTGCACACGGTAATAAAGAAACTGAATATTGTATCAAGATTGACCGAGTCTTGAATCGAGCATGGGACGAACATTGGTATCCCATGTTGAGTGACGGCACTGGCATTGATATAGTAGATTAGGCGAGAAGCCTTCCAGCCTTCTGTGGCCGAGCGGTTTAAATGCGTGCGTTGAGAACTTCCGGTATGCGTTAGGGGCGCGGGGTGCGTGAGTTTCGATCCCACATGCGAGCGAATATTTTTCATTCTTTGTTATAAGCGTTTATATAAAATAATAAAATTGTGTGTTGTGTTGTGAATAAAAAATGTGAAGATGTTTATAAATAATGTTAAAAGTCTGTTAAAAATCAAGAAAAAAATGTAACAATTAGCAGAAAAATTGTCTTTTTTTACTAAAATTATTTTTTTAAAATTACTATTCAAATGATATTTATTGTTAGTAATATATTCTTATTTATATGAAAATAATATAATTATTACAAATAATAACTTATTGTCATTAAATATATATGTATATATACACACATACATGAATTAAAATAATAACAATAATATTTATTATTATTATTAATAATTCATATATTCACATTATATTGAATAAACGTGAGAAACGAGTAAATTTGGGAACAGTGGAAGCAGTCTTGTTTCAGTCCTGCATTAGGCGTCAGCAGCATTGATTGAGCATTGGTGTCCAATGCTGAATCAAGGCTCGCGCTGCAGTCTGGAATCGGTGTTACATTAAAGCTTCGATCATTCCTGCTCTCGCTGATTCACTCATGCTCAATCAATGTTGACCAATGCTCGGCCAATCTTTATAAAGCCTGAACTCGGCGTCACTTCGCGCCTGGGATTCATAATTTATAACGTTAGTGACGTTTACAATGATTTAGAAGAAAAAATAATTTTCTATTCAAACTTTTGTCATTAATAAAACTTTTACAATGTTTCTTGTACAAAAAGTTAAAAAAAAGAAAATTTTTTAAACTTAAAATATTGTTTTCTGAGTAAAAAACAGTTTTTTTCTTTAAATTGTTATTGACAAATGTTGTGAACTTCTCCCACGCCATTTATAAGTGTTATCAAATAAAATTTAAGCAATGCATTTTTTGTAACCCCTTATTATGTCGATTCTTAAAACCTGGAAAAAAATTTTAGAAGGCCTGGAAAACCTGGAAATGTCAGGGAAATTTTTTTCAGATTAGTTGTAGACTAATTAATATTATTAAAATAATAATTGGTTGAAAATTGTATAGGGAATACTGCTTAATAGCGGGAGTCTTAAGATTTTTTTTCTTATAAGAAATCCGTGAGAAGAAATTTGTATACACACTAAAAAAAAAGTTTTACTTTTAGCCTGTTTTCGAGGCTGAATTTAAGGTGTAAACGGAGTCAGCCCCATTAAACAAGGACAGACTTATGTGAAATACATGGGCTGAATTTAAGGTGTAAACGGAGTCAGACTTTTTTTTTCCTGTGTAATTATTGTAAATATTTTAGAAAGAATGGGTAACACTTGATAAGACAAAGTTGCTTAAGTGAATTAATCGTTTAAATTGATTATTCTTTTTCTATTATGTACTTAAATTTTAGATACGTTATCTTGAAATTTTCAAATTTTCAAACGTTTTAAGAAAATTTACAACTACCTATAATAGTTGTAAAATTGTCGAAAACTTAATATTTCAACATGTATAATGTATAATAATATTTAAATATTTTTTTGTGAATTCAGGATCACCTCAAATGAATAATATTGGAAATTTTAGTCCAATTGCAATGGATTCATTAAATATAAATGGCTTGGAGATGTCTCCAATGTCGATTGATTCATCTCCCACGCACGCTGATAATTTTATTATGTTCGAGGGCGCAACTGGTACATAATTTATTAATAATTAAATATTACTTTAATGAGATGGTACATTTTTATTGATATTTGTTCTATATACAAAAGTAATAATCGAATAATTTTATTGTAGTCCTTGAACCTCCTTATATCAAAATCTTGGTACAGCCTGTCGATAAATTTAGATTTCGCTATAAATCTGAAATGATGGGAACTCATGGCAGTCTTTCTGGAGAAAGAGACGAAACTAGCCAGAAAAAGGAAGTCCCAACAGTTCAAGTAATCTTTTATTTCTTTAGCGTTTAAATTATTTTTTCCAGATTTTATTTTTCTAAAAAACCTAGATTTCATTTTTAAAATAAAGTTTTCGTTAAAATTGATTACGTTCGTTTTAGCTCCTGAATTATCCTGGAAATGCAGTGATAAGGTGTTCTCTAGTCACATCCGAGGAAGATAACAGAATGCCTCATGCCCATCATTTAGTAAAGAGAGAAGGAAATCAGGAGATAGACACTTTTCATGACTTAGAAGTTTCTGAGGAAAATGACCATGTAGCAGTGTAATTTCAAAAATTTTATTTATTCTAGTTATGGCGAGATTAATAATTTGTTTTTATTAATTTTTTTTTTGTTATTTATTACTATCTTTTAGTATAGAGTAAGATTTTGGTCAGAAATAAATTGTAGAAGTTACGCTCTATGGAATTTAGCGTAACTTTAACAATTTGGAAAATTTTTAAAAATCATTTGCTTCTTTAATATTACAAACAATGATAAATTATAGGTAAATAATTGACAAAATCTTACCTTATAATTATAAATTTGTCTTATTTATATTTTATGTATTAGATTTAACGGCATGGGTATAATTCACACGGCCAAAAAGAACATAAAAGATGAATTGGTCCGTAAGAAAAAAATAGAAGCTCTTGAAAAGTGGAAACAAAAAAACATAAATGTGCGCTCGCTAAATGTCACGGAAACGACAAAGGTATGGTGAATATTATTTACTATTAATGAACCCCTTGACAGTGTCCTTTTGGGGTCGCTGATCGCGAATATGTCAGATTTTCAAAATTCAAAATGGCTGATCCAATATGGCGGATAATTTCAAGATTGACGCGATTCGATCCAAATTCATTTCTCGGGGTTTTTTGAGGTCGCTGAATTCGAATTTGATGTCGGTTTTTCAAAATGCAAAATGGCGGACATAATATTGCGATCAAATTTTTTTAATGTTGCCGGATTAGTCTACAATGTTTACTAGAGAGTTAATAAATCCAATTATGATGTCAAAATTAAAAAATATAAGATTGATCTGATGTCAATATGGCGACTAACATTTAAAAAATTAATTAAAATCTTATGTTAGACTTCAAAAATGCAAAATGATTTGTAAAATATGTAAGTAGATATAATTGTAGCGTACGGTTTAGTAATTGAAAAAAGAAAAAGATAAAAAAAGCAACTCTTACGATTTACAATTTCACATGAAATTCGAATTTCGTAACTTTTAAAACTCCCCAGTAAATATGTTTAGACAAATCAGTCAACTTTTAACAAATTCGTCCGCCATATTCAGGCCTCGGATATATAATATGACTTTTTCGCTTTTTTCGACTATTTTTAAAAAATGCGACTTTTTCGACTTTCCTTCCAAATATTGCAACAAAATACCACATTTTTAGAACAGAACGCAACTTATTCTGATTTTTATACTGCAAAAAATAACTATAGACTAATTTTTCAAAAATTATTTTTGAATAATTTTTCTTATTGACTTTTCGAAATATACAATTAAAACGATTTTGAATAGTTGAAATTTTGTAAAATTTAATTGAAAATAATTGATTTTTTTTCAAGTATTATTATTACAATTTTTGAAAACCAACTTTTAAAGAAAAATTTAATTGCAAACTTTGTAAAAATAATTGAATTCACAAAAAAATTTAATGAAAAATCTTCAAGTGTAAATTTATGTAAATGAAAATTAATGAAAACTATTTTCTAAAAAATAATATTAACATTTTTTTTTAAAAACTTCTAATTCTTAGAATTTTTTTTATTATAAATTTTTAAAATTCAATTATTTTCAATATTTTCAAAGATTTAATTTTGAAAATTCAAATACATAGGTACAAAAATAATATAAACGTTAAAATTTCTCAGAAATAATTTTAACATTTTGGAGAAAACAATCATTGTGAAAAAATTTAAATTAAAATTCATCGAAAAATTACTTAGTTTTTTTTTAAATTATACAAAAATTCTATTTAGAAATTCAATTATTTTCGCAAAATTACATAAGAATATTTTTAAGAAACTAATTCTTAGAATTGTTTTACCCTAATTTTTTAAGATTTACTTATCTACGAACAAAGTAAATTACATTTTTTTAAAATTTACTTATTTAGATTCTTATTAAAAGTTCGGAAAAATCATGTTTCTATTTGTAATTAAATAAAAAAACTCTTTAGAGAAATTTTTAAATATTTTCAAAAATAAAAAATTTCTTTAGAGAAATTTTCTATTATTTTCAAAAATATTGATAAAAATCTTTAAAAGAATTCAATTATTGTTTATAAAAATTTTAATTGAATTTCTAAAAAAATTCATTATTTTTAAAAAGTTTCATAATTACTAGCAAAAATTCCATTTTTAAAAAAAACTTTTAATCATTTTAGTCAAAACTAGTTTTGAGTTTGACTACTTAAAAGTAGAAATAAAGAGCAAAATTTAGTCGAAACCAGTATTGCAACATTGAATTAAATAAACGACTTTTTCGACTTTTTTTGTATTTTTAATCGACTAAAGCGACTTTTTTTGTGTCTTAAAGTCGATTCGAGGCCTGCATATTGAATCCGTCATTTTGAATTTTGAAAATCTGAACTCAAACTCGAATTCAGCGACCCCAAGAACCTTAAATATGATGAAATCACATTTTTTGGAAAATTTCCTCTTCGGACGATTTGTGACGCGACCCGAAGAAAGGTACCTAAGAAAGAAAAAATTTGAGGTTATGTTTTAAATTTTTTGAGTAAAAATACAGAAAGAGAATCAATTAATAATTAAAAATTGTTGGTCTTCAAGTCTTTATTATATTCAAAATATTTAATGAATATTGGTTTCAAATTCAAATAATTAAAAATGAGCTTTTAATCAAGATAAATCTAACTCGAACCCAACCTATAATTCGTTTGCTTCTTATTCTTAGGTATACCTTTCTTGGGGTCGCGTCACATTTATGTTCATAAACGATTTTTAACTGGACTGCGAAGTGGTTAAAACTAATGTTGAAAATCTTATATTAAACTTATTATCAATATTTTTTTGCTCTTTCAGATTCACCAAGACGCTGAAGAAGCTGCAAAAACTATGAATCTTAATAGTGTTTGTTTATGTTTTCAAGCATTTTACCGTGACAATAATGATGTTTTACAGGTTTTAAGTGATCCTGTATATTCACATCCCATAAATAATCTTAGTAAGATCATTTCTTTAATTTTCTAAATAATAAGAAAGCTAATGAGGATAATAAATGAATTTATATTTTGTTCATAAAAGCAAAATGCATTTTCTTATTTTTTTATGAAAATAGCAGTCAATGAGAAAAAATTAAAATAACAAACTTTTCTAAGTTTGTTAATCTCAATAAAGATTTAATCTCATAATTAAATGTTTTACAGAAAGTGCATTAACTGGAGAGTTGAAAATTTGTCGTATTGACAGGCACACTGGTAATTGTGAAGGATCAGATGAAATTTTCATTTTAGTTGAAAAAGTTGGCAAAAGTAAGTTGAAAAAAAATTATTTTTCATATTCATCAAATGCACTAACATACGCTACCGTCAACTTTAAAAATTTTTGATACAAATTTTCCGTTTTTACGAATTTTTTTCTGTTAACTGACCAAGAATTAAATAATAACATTTAGTACCCTCTATTGTCATGTGTTCGAACTTTTGTTTAAAAAAATAGTTGATTAAAATAATTCATTTTAAATATTTTACTCGTTAAAAATCTCGCGTTCCTCAAAGAGCCCCGGTTGACGGTAATAAAAACAATTTAAATAGATGTGGTTTCTTATTTTTATAATTTGCGTAAATCCTTTTACAGAAAACATAAAAATTAAGTTTTACGAAATAGACGATTCGGGCAATGAAATATGGTGCGATTATGGAAAATTTTCAGAATTGGACGTGCATCATCAATACGCTATCGCTTTCAGGTATGCATTAAATATTTACATTTTAGAGTGTATATTATATGATTTAATTTAATTTTTATTTTGTTTCATAGAACACCCGCGTATAAAGATACATACATTGAGTCTCCCAAAAAAGTGTATATTAAATTAGAGAGACCATCGGATGGAGAGTGCTCCGACAGTGTCCAGTTCACGTACAAAGCCAGCGAAAAAATCCAAAGTAAGTTTGAATGACTGACAAATTTCTTTAAAACAATTACTAAAACACAAATACATCATGGCCTTATTAAATATTTTCTTGTTTTTTGAGGCGCATGATTATTCCCCAAATGTCATTTTACCGAACTGTCATTTTAACGAATTGCATTTATTTGAACTGTTATTTTAACGAAATGTCACTTTTGCGAATCGCCATTTTTACGATCCAATATGGCGGACAACGAAATAAAAAATTGATCAGATTGGCTTGAAACTGAATACTTGGGGATTTTCAGGGTCGCTGATTACGAATCTGAAATCAGTTTTTCAAAATTCAAAATATCTGGTTCAATATGGCGGAAAATTTTTTAAAATTTATTGAATTTGTTTGAAACTGGTTAATATGACATCAGTATGATAATTTTTGGTGAAATCGAATTTCGATAAATACCCTAGAAAAATAATGACAGATTCGTAATCAGCGACCTTAATAACCCCCGAGTATACAGTTTCAAGCCAAGGGATCGTTCATAAACTACTTCACACTTCTAGGGGGGGGGGGTGTCAAGTTGTGTGTCACGAAGTGTGGAAATAGTTATTTATGATACAAGTGCGTAAAATCGTTGATTATACGAGTGTGACGTTTGCAGCTCGAGCCGAAGGCGAGTGCTGCAAGTCACACAAGTATAATCTGATTTACGCACGAGTGTCATACAAAATTTTTTGCAACACTAAAACAACTAAACTTGCAGCAATATTGCCAATATTACTGAAAGTTTAGGTGTAGTGGGGGAACTGTTAAATGAAGTTTTCTAGAAGCTAAAATAAAAATTTGATTGTAAATTGTTGTTTAAAAGCTTTAATTCATGGTTTCTCATCAAACAGTCACAAGAATGCGTAAAGTAATCATTTTACGCACTGAAAATCACTTTACACACTGGAATTCATTTTACACACTGCTAGCGGTGTGTAAAGTAACACTTTACACACCGCTATAAAATGAAGTACTTTACACACAGTTTTCTGTGTGTAAAATTCAATTTTACAGGTTAGTGTTGCAAAAAAAAAATTTTTTAATGTAAAAAATGTGACGGCACGGGGGAGGGGGTAAAAATCAGTCGGAAAAAGCGTGACGTATTTTGTGAATGACCCCCAATCTGATCAATTTTTTATTTCGTTGTCCACCATATTGGATCCGCCATTTTGAATTTTGGAAAACTAATGTCAGATTCGTAATCAGCGACCCTCAAAACCTCCGAGTAACAAGTTTCAACAAATTCGACGAATTTTGAAAAAATTTCCGCCATCTTGGATCCGCCATTATGAATTTCGAAAAACTGATGTCAGATTCGTAATCAGCGACCCCAAAAACCCCCGAGTACTACGTTTCAAGTCAATCTGATCAATTTTTTATTTTGTTGTCCGCCATATTGGATCCGCCATTTTGAATTTTGGAAAACGAATGTCATATTCGTAATCAGCGACCTCGAAAACCCCCGAGTAACCGGTTTCAGGAACATTTAAGAAGTTTTTAATCACTTTTTTTTAAGTTGCGCATATATGCGTCAGCGACAGTCAACGGGTTAAAGATATTCATAAACAAAAGTATTAGAAATAATTTTTTAACTCTTAATTGAATTCTTTTGAAGAATTTCTTTGTATTTTTTTAAAATATTGGAGTTTCTTTAATAATTTTAATATAAAAATTTGAAAGTAATTGAATTTTATGAAAAATTTTCTTAAAGTTTTTTAAATCATCGTGTTTTTTAATAATTCAGATTAATTAATTTTTTTTAATTTATTACCAATTTAATTTTATATTTAATCCAAATATAATATAGTACTTTCATATAATTTTATTGTAAAACATATGGAAAATCTCTTAAATTTTTTATTAAATTATCACAAATTATTTTTAATAAATACAGATTCACAAGTTTTAAAATGAAAATAATTAAATATTTAAATAATTCGTTTTGTACAATTAATGAATAAAATTTATTTTAAATTAATTTTGTAATAATTTAAAGAATTTGCAAATTATCAATTTTTTATCAAAAAATAAAGAAAAAACCACTGCCAAGTTGTACATTTTTATAATTTTGGTGTTCATTTCATGAACACTTTGCTTCCTCATAGAAATAATAATAATTGAAATATAAGAATTACTTTTTATAAAAGGGTTAAAAATCATTAAATCTTGGTCCAAAAAATGTGTTTTTATATATTCTATAAGATGGTAATAATAGTTTAATAATTACACATAAATTAATAAACAAGAATGTTGAAAAAATGATATTTTCCACAATTCTTGATTTTTCAAATACCAATAATTTCATAATTTCTGCCCGAATCAGGTTAAAAAATAGGTCAAACGAAGCGTTTTTTAATGCTCTTCAAGTTGGTAATAATTTTTAGAAGTTACTTTTACATAATTTAAAAAAATTTTTATAAAAGTCTTATTTTTCAAAATTTTAGATTTTTAAAAGTTTAATATCTCCGGTTAATATGGACGAAAAATATTCAATTAGGGCTCAAAAGATGCGTGTGAAAAAACTCTACAAAACTAAAGAAAAACATTTATAAGTGTCCTAACATTTTTTTAAGTTATGTCCAAAACACGTTTTTTTACCAAATGAAAAATGCAAAAAAAAAAATAGTTTAACTTCATGAATCGGGCTGAAAATACTCTCATTTTATGTCCCCCGGGGAGACCTACAATTTAAGAAAAAATTTGGGCCTTTTGCTCTTTCTTGTTCTGAGATATTGAGGCAAATGTAATGTTAGTACACACACACACACACACACACACACACACACACACACACACACACATCGGGACAAATTTTTAAAATCCGTTTTTTGGACTTCGGAGGTCAAAATACGTCGAAATTTTTTTTTATTTATTTAGAACATTTATAAAGGGAGTTCCTGTGCATATATAAAGTACTAAAGTATTAGGCATAATAAAAAAAAATTTATAAATATGTCAAAAAATGACAATCCAAAATTTTGCTAATACAAAGCTTCCTTTATGAGGAAGCAATACTAGAGAAACACTTTATAGAACAGTTTTTTTCCTCTTTGAAAACATTTTAAACAATTTTTTTATTTAAAATAATTTAATTTCACTATTTTTCATTTGTCTCGAAATTAACATTATCAAGGTTAGATCCCTCTTCGACGCGCGGCTTCAATTGTAATTAATAATTTTACAATTAAAATTTGATAGAAAATTAAACTCTTTTAAATAATTTCATTCGAGTTTTTGTAAATAATGTACCTAGTTTTTTGAATAATTTTAATTACAAATTTTGAAGATATTTGAATTAAACAAAGAATTTTTTTAAACTCTTTAAAATAATCGTGACTGTTAATAATTATAATTAGATATTTGATTATTGTAATGATTTCATTTAATAATAATTTCATTAAAATTATATTGAAAATAATTGAATTCCTGAGAAGACTTTTATTATTCATAAAAATAATTTAATTCTTGCGATGAATTTTACTAAAGTTATACAAAAATAATTGAATTGTTTCGAAGGCTTTATTAAAATTTTTTAAAATTTTCATAAAATATTTGAATTTTTGCAGAGAATTTTAATATTTATAAAAATAATAGAATTCATTTGAAAAATTTCATAGAGAATTAAGAAAATAATTGAATTCTTTTAAAAAATTTTGTAACGAATTAAAAAAAAATTGAATTCTTTCGTGAAATTTTATTGAAAATAATTGAATTTTTGCAAAGATTTTAGGTATTCTTCCGATAATTGTTATTATTGATGAAAATAATTAAATTCTTGCGAAGAATTATATTACAATTTTTGAAAATATAAACAATGATAATTAATTATGTACAGGTACTTAATAAGTGAATTTTAAAAATTTTAATTATGAAATTATTCAAAAATTAAAATTTGAAAATAAAAAATGTTTGCAAAACATTTGCTAATTTATCTAATAACTTAAGTTATCATCCTGTACTATTATGCGAATATATTTTTCTATTTTAGATAAGAAACGTCCAAGAGTCTCGACATCTCAATCTTTAAGTACTGAGTTTCGATTTATACAACCGATGAATCAGAACAATCTAAATAATCAATGGAGTACAGAAGAATTTGCAAATATTTTCCAACAGAGTTCATCACTTCAATCTGAAGAGTTTAGAAGAGCTATCGATGGCATCGATATGACCCAATTTTTTGATAGTAAGTAATAATAATTTTTCAAGTATCGTCTAAGGCTGTGCTTACATTGTTACACTCATTGCTCAACGCAAGCATGTAAACACAGTCTAACAGTTAATCTTATTTTTTGTTCGCTTAAAGGTTACTCTACTCTTGTACCTGAGGCAGGGGAAAACGTAACAGATGGTCCGAGTCAAGTAAGTTTACTTTTTATCTTTTTAAATTATTAATTTCAATGATAGTTCCATAATAACTCTATAGCGAAAGTTTCGGACTAATATTTGGTCGGTTATGTTCAGTAATATTCCGAGGCATTCGAAAATATATTTTACCTGTCTGAATTTAAATTTCTTTCCAAATAAATCTGTTCTTTTTTGTAAAGTTAAATCCTTTGGAACCCATTGTTTTTTCAGATCGGTTTGGCATGAAATATGGCTCATCTAATAATTATTTCTCACTCATTTTCTTTCCGGATGAGCCTTTCATTAATCATGTCAGCTCAAATTTTTCGAAATGCATATATTCATGTGATTTGTAGTTCTATTTTACAGAAAATGTTACTTTTACAGCAAGATAAAATAAATGATTTAATCAGGATCTGCTTACAATTCTTTCATTGTCGTCTTATGGTATATGGTACCAAAGACTTCACATTACACACTTCTATTACCACCGTTGTACAGTGGATCAAAAATTTCAAATTTTTCACAAATATCTCTCAATACAAGTTTGAATGAAAGTAAATAAAACTTGGAACACTTACTTGTCGAAAACAATAGAATTTGAATTTATTGTCCCTTCTTAAAAATCTTATTTGTTCGTTTCAGAGTCTTTGTCTAAAGGTCATTTCTGCTAAAAATACACAAAACTTTACAATATTCTTGTTTCCACATTAACAAAAAAACACTTTTGAGGTAACTGTATCGTGTAACATTTATTTCTCAAAATTCAAAATGGTAGATCCAATATAAACAAATGTCCAAAATTTTTGACTCAAGTTCAAAGTAAGAATGTTTATCCTAAAAAATTTTTTTTAAAGGAAGTATTGACCGGACCATGTTTTTTATGTTTTTTGGGTCGCTGAATTCGAATCCGAACTCAGTTTTCCGCCATCACGTCAAGTTTTTTCAAAATGGCGGATCCAATATGGCTGTCGAATTTTTTAAATTAAATTTATCAGATTTGCTTGAAACTTGTTACTCGGGGGTTTTTGGGGTCGCTGAATACGTATTTCACCTTAGTTTTTCAAAATTCAAAATGGCGGATCCAATATGGCTGTCGAATTTTTTTAATTAAATTTATCAGATTTACTTGAAACTTGTTACTCGGGGGTTTTTGGGGTCGCTGAATACGAATTTCACCTTAGTTTTTCAAAATTCAAAATGGCGCATCCAAAATGATTAAAGAATTTTTAAAAAACTTATCAGATTTTGAATTTTTAAAAACTAAGGTGAAATTCGTATTCAGCGACCCCAAAAAACCCCGAGTAACAAGTTTCAGACGAATTGGGTGAATTTTAAAAAAATCGACGCCATATTGGATCCGCCATCTTAAATTTTGAATATTCACGAGTTTCTTTGATTGTTTAACATTATATAATATTTTTCAAGTGCGTTAAAGTTGTTTTTTAATAGAATCTTCTGCTTACTTTTATTTAAATCTTGTTTACAGTCAGTTTTTGCGAATTTTATTAATTTGTGAAGAAACTTGATGTGATGGCGCAAAACTGAGTTCGGATTCGAATTCAGCGACCCAAAAAACATGGTCCGATCAATGCTTCCTTTTAAAAAATTTTGTGGTCCTGTGTTATAAGTTGTTAAATTTCAAAAAGGTTTGAATTTGAAAATTTTTTAAAATTTTAATACCTGCGTGGAAAAATAATTATAATAATTAAATATTTATTTTAAAAAGAAGTTATTGATGTTTTTCAATATAATTATACAATTAAAGAAATTCGTAAATAAATGTAACAAAACACTTTTTAGAGTGAATCAGAATATTCTTTAGGTTCAGGGAAAAGAGTCAAAGTTTTGTTTGAATATCAGGGAAAAGTCGGGACAAAGAAAATTAAATTTTATGTATTAACCCTGCAAATCTTTCCAAATTGTTTATTTTAGGGTAAGTGCATCAATTGCTGCGCGTTTGTGACATACATTTAAAGTACAGTTTTTTTACGTATTTTTAGCAAAAGTGACAATCTTTAGACGATGAGACTTGAACGGATACTTTTTATTTTTTAAAAGAGGATCGAAATTGGTGTGAAAAATTTGCTAACTTAAGGCTTACTGTCAAATTCATCATAACTCTTCTCTCCTTGTAGGTCTGCATAAAAACTAATTATTTCGTAAAAAGACGGTATATCTACATTATTGTAATGATTGAATGTTAGTCAGCAAATTTAAGTAAAAAATTGTGAAAAATATTAAATTTTTATTTTAGAATAACGTTTAAATGTTAATCCAAATCTAATTTTCCAGGCCAAATTACTAAATTTCTCCATTATCATTTAAATTATACTTGTTTAGTAAAAATATTTTATTCTTTAAGAGATCCGTTCTTTAAAATTTTAATGATGACAGAGACTTACTGTCATTGAGTAAATGTATAATTAACTTGAAAAAAATTACAGAATAATTTGAAAATTCTATAAAATATATATGTATATATATTAATAAATAAAACATATTTAATTTTTTAACAGAATGATGAGACTTTTGCAAAAGACATGTTAGTTAAAATAATTGAAGTAATGAAAAATAAGAATTTAGCTGAAGTAAAGGATAAAGTTATGTCTCTTCTGAAAGAAGTCACAACTTATGGTGATACTCCTCTTCACGCAGCTTTACGATATAATCAAACAGACATAACGAAAACTTTAGTAATGATTTTTTGTCTCTATCAAGATTTTAAGTCACTTATTAATGCTGAAAATAGTGTGGGAAAGGTGAGTTATCTATTAATTTTCTTATAACTTTCAAATATTCAGCATGTATTTAAAATTATATAACATCTTTTATCTACAGAATTTAAGGGGACTTTCTGGTCAATGATTTCAAAAAAAATAAATTTTTCTTTTTTTGCTTTAAAATGTTGCATAAAATTATTGTCCCAAAATATTTTTGAAGAAAAATGAACGAAAAATACTCAAATTTTTTTTTAATTCTCTTCTTAAAATATGTAACAATATCCAAAAGGAATTTTTGCAATAACTATAATACATTTTTTACAATAAGAGTTCAAAAAAGTGTGTATTCTACCAATTCTGCACCAGAAAGTCCCCTTAAGGTGGTTCTATCGATAATTGAATTAACAAACAGATTTTGATAAAACTTGATGTGCAGCTAGATACAAAACCGGTATGTTATATGTAATTACAATCTGTTAAAACAATTATCAATAGGTACCTGTTAGATTTACTAATAATTCAATTCAAATGATAAACATTATATTAAATAATAATTCTATGCAATAAAAATTATGAGAAATAAAACTTTCATTAATTTAAAATTATGTAAAATAATAATTCGAGGATTTAAATTTCGGTTATTAAAAAAAATATCTAAAACAGTAATTATATTAAATAATAATTAGATTTCATAAGAAATATAAGAAATAAATATTTTATTTTTAACAATTATATTACTTCCAATTTCGCAAGTTAAAAGTTATGTTAATTTGTAATTAGATTCCACAGAAATTACAAAAAATAATTATTATACATAAAAAATGTATTGTAAATTATATTTACAATACTTAGAAAATCTATAAAATAAAAATTCGATTAACCCCTTCACTGTCAGTGGGCTCTATAGGGCCATCGAAAAAAAAGACATTTAAAAGTTAACGAATCTGGCTAAAAATCCTTACTCGGGGGTTTCCGGGGTCGCTGAATCCAAATCCGTTGTCAAAAATTCAAAATTCAAAATGGCGCCCAAAAAAATTTTTAAGTTAACGAATCTGTCTGAAAATGCCTACTCGGGGGTTTTCGAGGTCGCTGATTTCAAATCCGTGGTCAAAAATTCAAAATTTAAAATGGCAGCTTTAAAAAAGCGACAAAAAAATTTTCTAAGTTAACGAATTCGTTAACCTTTCAATTTTTGTTGGTCGATATTTTGAAGCCGCCATTTTGAATTTTGACTTTTCGACCACGGATTTTAAATCAGTGACCTCAAAAACATATAATATGCCAATATCAAGTTTTTTTTTTAAAAAATTTTTTTTGAACACTTATGGCACAAAAACTTTATTTTCACTCGACTGTGAAGGGGTTAAAAATAAATTATAACAAATATTTATTCTCAATTTTGTAATAATGTTAACATTAAATTATATAGATATCTACATTTCCAGTAAATGATGATTATTAAGTTTAAAATTCGGATATATAACAATTATAAAAATTAAAATTTGGATGAAATCATGCAGCCCCCGAAATCTTATTTGACATAATTATGTTAAATGGCATTTATGCCAAATACAATTTATTTCAAATTAATTTTATGTTAAATAAGAATGATGTTAAATGATATTTACGCAGGCTTCACAGTCTGTCCCCTATTTCCCTAAAAGTCCCCTTTTTTAATTTTGTCCCCTAAACGTACACTATTTTCAAAATTTCCCCTATTTTTTTCTTTTTTTCTTTAATTGGAAACTTTTGTTTTGAAAGTTTCAAATCTTGAAATTTATGATGGATGAAATTTTTCATGAAATTTATAAAATTTGTAAGATTAGTAATTTGGTGAAGTCAAGTCTCAATTATGTTTAGAAGTTGGTTGTTTTTTAATACCTATTATTTAATTATTACAAAAGTTTTAATTAAGGGTTCATACCACTTTACACGCTTAAAAATGAAGCTATTTTCTAGAATTTTTTTTACGATTCCTATGGATTATATTAATCTGCATTTTTTTAAATTTAATAAATACACTCTTTAACTTTATAAAAAACCTTATTTTATTTAAAAAATATTATTTGTTTATTTAAAATTTAACAATAATTTTAGACCTGCTAAAAATACCGATGCCAGCTGCGGGATTGATTTCTCAGGTTAGAAAAATCTAAAACACAAAATTCAAATTGATTCATCTTCAGTAGGACTGTGCCTATCGCCCGAACTAGAATTTTAAATTTTTATGCAAAAATAACAAAATGGTGGCAATTTAATTTTTTTTTTTTTTGAAAATTAAAGTTTTTTTTGGCAGTTTTTCGGTTTAAAAAAATAGTAAAAATTAATATTTTTAAATAATTCTAGTTCCGGCGATACCCACCCATGTGACGAAGATTTTCGTAAAAAAATTTTGAGAATAGGTTCAGTAGTTTCCGAGAAAAACATCACGCAGCATGAAAAAATGTGGTTTTGAGAAAAACGCATTTAAAGTTGGTGTTGTATACTTACATAGCCGTGTACGCGCTCAAATAGTATTGAAAAAAATATATTTTGAGTGCTGGAATCTTTCTAAAAATTTTACACCACATTTTTGACATATTTTACTTTCGAAATCCATAATAAATTTTTTTTGCTTTTTTGAAGATGACAAAGTGGTATGAACCCTTAATATAAATCTTGATAAATAACAAAATTCTTCACAGAAATTCAATAATTTTTAGGAATTTTAATAAAATTCTTGACAAAATTTCAATTATTTAAACAAAATTTAATAAAATACTTTGCACGAATTCAATTATTTTTATAAATTTTAATGAATATCTCGTCAAGAATTTAATTATATTTATGGGACGCATGATTATTCCCCAAATGTCATTTTTCCGAAATGTCATTTTACCGAACTGCACTTTTGCGAATAGTCATTTTTGCGAAAAGCCATTTTTGCGAAATGTCATTTTTACGAATAGTCATTTTTGCGAAAAGCCATTTTTGCGAATAGTAATTTTTGCGAAAAGTCATTTTTACGAATTTTCATTTTTGCGAATTGTCACTTTTGGGAATTGACATTTTTACGAATCGCCATTTTTACGAATTGTCACTTTTGCGAATCGACATTTTTACGAAATGTCATTTTTGCGAATAGTCATTTATTCTTACATGAGTTCAATTTTAAAAGGATTGAATTTGAAATTTTTGAACATCTTAATTCCAATGAATAAAAATGACTAAATATTTATTTTAAACAAAACTATTGATGTTTTCGAAAAATTTTACTTTTGAAGAAATTTGTAAATAAATTTAATAGTTTTTGTGTCAACCTTGTATATTAAATAAATGATATTTTTATCTTTATTTAACCAATTCTTATGGTCCCCTAAAAGTCCTCTATTTTTTAATTTTCAGTCCCCTATTTCCCCTAAAATACTTTTTAGAGGCACTGTGAAGCCTGTTTACGTCAAATGAAATTTATGTCAAGTGAATTTTATGTCAAATGAATTTTGCGTTAAATGACTCTTATGCCAAATGAAATTGATGTCAAATGCATTTTATAACAAATAAAATGTACGTTAAATGAATTTTATGTCAAAAGAAATCTATGTTACATAATTTTTATGTCAAATAGAAATTATGTTATATGAGTTTTATGTAACATAAAATTTGTGTTAAATGAATTTGATGAGAAATAATATTTATGTTAAATGGTTTTTTGTGTGCAATGAAATTTATGACAAATAATGTTCATATTATATGAATTTTAAGTTAAGTGGTTTTATATGAAATAACTATTTTGCGAAAAAAGTTTTCGGGAATAAGCATGCGCCTCTCAGCGTGTGGGTAGACTTCCTTGATAATTTCACTAAGTAAAAAAATTATTCGCAAAATAAAGATTTACCTAATGAATAAAAATATTATCTTTCATAGACTCCTTTACATTACGCTGTGATTCAAAGTCAGCCAGAAGTTGTGAAAGCTTTACTGATGTTAGGAGCTGATCCTAATATTTCGGATGAAGAGCACAACATTCCTCTTCATGTTGCAGTTTGCAGTAAGTTAATTTCATTCTCACTAGAAATTCATATATTTTCTGACTCGAGTGTACAAAATTGATCATTTTAAGCACGAGAGTCAAATCAAATATTTTATGAATATTCTGCTAGAAATTTGTTAATAGCCGTTAGGTCTAGATTTTGAAGCAATACTTTCTCTTACTTCAGTGCCTGAAGGAGCTTTATGTGTGGACGTATTACTGGGAGCCAGTTCAAATGTAGAAACTGCGAACGAAGCAGGCTGGATTCCTTTGCATCTTGCGTCAAAAGCTGGTTCCTTGGGAGCAATAAAGTCACTTATAAGAGCAGGAGCTGATGTAAATAGAACGGATCTTTCATACGGCCGAACAGCGCTGCACATTGCAGTGGAAGGTGGCCACAAGGATATCGTTGAATTCTTATTGAAAGAGGTACAAACTACAACAAATAACTACAACTGTCTTTATAAGCATTTAAACCAAAATGTCAAAAAATAATCAATTTCTCCTATATTTTTATTTAGTTTGATACATGTGTTTTACGTTAAAGAAAACACAGCGTCATTATTCTGTACCGCTTTCTTAAATCAGGGTTGCCACGCTTTTGCTCATTTCAAATTCCCTGACTTTTACAGGTTTTCCAGGTTAAAAAATAAAACGGAATTTTTCCAGGTTTTTAAAACTATATTTAAATATTTTACAAAATTTTTCATTCAAACCTTTTTGAAATTAAACATCTTATAAAAAATTGTTATAAAACATGAAAATATCGATCACTCCAATGCAATCGATATCTTCATGTTTTATATTATAAGAATATTGTTACTGTAACTTATTCAAAATTACTTTCATTATTTTAATTCAATTATTGTTTTCCACAATTTTTAACTAAAATTCTCCTTTATAAAGTGTAAATTAATTATTATTAATAATTTCTGAAAAATTTCTTTCAACATTTTCAAATCCTTTTGTTTACAATTCAATTTTACGAAATTTCATCGATTATTCAGGTATTCGGAAATTCTTAAATCAAACATATATTAGAAAATAAAAACTTCAAATAACTTCAAAAAAATTCAATTCAACTTTTACAAAAAAAATTAAATCTACACAATTTTAAGTTAAAAGTATGAAAAATTCAAACATTCAAAGATTATAATTTGAAACCTGCTTTTCAAAACTCAATTATTATCTAAAGTTTTAACTGAAATTCATATTTCAATCAATTATTATTAGAAAATTCTACAACACTTCAATTATTTAAATACAAAAAAAAATAATTTATTTAAGAATTGAATGTTTTTTAAAATTCAACTCTCATTTAAAGAATTTTATCAACAAATTTTTAAATAGATAATTAAAATTCTTTTCACGAATTTCAATAAAATTTTTAAAAATAATTTCATTTTTCGAGAAATTAGATTAAAAATGTATCAAAAATAATTGAATCTCTGTAAAAAAGTTTCATTGAATTGAGAAAAGTTTTTGAAAATAATTGAAATTTTGTCAAGAATTTTATTAATTTTTTTTTAAATAATTGAAATATTCCCAAGAATTTTATTGAAATTTTTAAAAATAATTGAATTTTAGAGAAAAATTTTAATATTTACAAAAATAATTGAAATTTTGACTGTAACTTTTTTTAAACTTTTGACCATAATTGAATTTCTGCTAAGAATTTTATTACTTTTGAAAATAATTGAATTCTTGAGACGAATTTTTTAATAATATTTCTTTTTAAATACCTAATTATTTTTGATACAAAAATAAATAATTTATTGAATAATTGAATGTTTCTCAAAATTGAATTCTCATAAAGAATTTTATTAACAAATTTTTAAATAATTGAATTCTATTGACGAATTTTAATAAAATTTTAAATATAATTACATTTTTTGAGAAATTCCATTAAAATTGTAGGCATTAAAAATAATTGAAATTTTGCGATGAGTTTTATTATTTATGAAAATAATTGAATTATTGCGAAGGAAGATTGTAAAGGCAGCTCTTTTAAAATTGAATTAAGAAAATTAAATTAAAGAAAAATTAGATTTCAAGAATAAGCACAATAACTTTAGAAAAAAATAATTTTCCAGGATTCCAATGAAAATTCCCTGACATTTCCAGGTTTTCCAGGTTTCCAGGTTGCGTGGCAACCCTGTTAAAATAATTAATTGAAATAGACTCTTTTTTTATGTGCTCTGGGTGATGTTACCCCTTAAAAATTAATTTTCCATATCCCATAGAATGTATTTAAGCTGGCCAGTTATTAAAATTACTAATTTAAATTATAGACGAAAATTGAGGTAAACACAAGAAACTTTGGAGGAAATACGGCGTTACACAGTGCCGTGGTTATGACTGGCTTGCGAGCTAAAGAAATTTGCTCTCTGCTAATTCAACATGGTGCGGATCCATCTGTTTCTAACAAAGTGACAAATGTACGTATAACTTTCTTTGCATATATATTTTTTATATTTATTAATAATTATATTTCTTCATAAATAGAATATATTAGTTAACATCTGATATCAGATTCGTAATCGAATTCGTATTCGGCCGACTATTGATTTCACTATTTTTAATTTTGCAATTCTGATTTCAAATAATCGTTGAAAAGAAATGTTAAATACCACTCAAATATTACGAGTTTTTAGTTGTTTTATTCTTGATTTTTGAAGCATTATCGAATACTTTTCGTTTTCAGTTTACATCCCGTAAAGGTTCCTAAATTTGCTAGAAGTCTGTAAAAGTCAGTTTTTTTGGAAAAAGGTCCGTAAGGTCCGTAATTTGATTGAGAAAAGACGAAAAATTCGTAAATTATATGATATAATTTGGAGAATTTTAGAGAAAATACAAATTATTGCATAAATTCAATTATTTTCAAAAGTAATCAAATTCTTTGCAAAAATTCAATTATGTTCAAAATTTTTTTTAAATTCTCGTCAAAATTTCAATTATATTTAGAAATAATTCAATTTTTCTCCGAAATTCAATTATTTTCAAAAATTTTAATAAAATTCGTGGCAAAATTTTAATTATTTTCAAAAAATGTTCTCAATTCAATGATTTTTAATATTTACGATTTTAATAAACTTTTCCAAAAGAATTCAATTATTTACAAATTTTTCATAAATTTCTTTATGAGAATTTAATTTTAAGAAACATGCAATTATTCAATAAATTGTTTTTTGTACTTAAATAATTGAATTCTTATAGACTTTTCTAATAAAAATTAATTTAAAAATGGATTTCAGTTAAAATTTTAGATTATAATTGAATATTAAAAGCAATATAGCGTGGATTTTTAGAAATAATTGAGATTTAAAAAGGTTTCAAATTCAAATCTTTAAAAATCTGAGATTTTAAAATTTTTAACTAACAATTTTGTGGAATTAATTTTTTTGAGAATGTTTAATTGCGAATTTGTTTTTTAAATTATTTAAAGTTTTTATTTTCTAATATATATTTAATTGAAGAATTAACGAATAATTGAAATTTTGTAAAATTGAATATTAAACAAATAAATTTGAAAATTCTCAAAAAACTTTTTCAAAAATTATTAAAAATAATGCATTTATAGAAGAATTTCATTTAAAAACAAGAAAAAAAATTTTATTTTGGAAAAGTTACAAATTATTGCAGAAATTCAATTATTTTCAACAGTAATAATATTCTTCGCAAAAATTAAATATTGTTCAAAAATAATAAAATTCTTCTTAGGGATTCAATTATTTTTAATTTAATTGTAATCAAATTTCTCGAAAAATGTAATTATTTGTAAAATATTCTATTAAAAGTCGTCGAAAGAATTCAATTATTTAATAATTTGTTGATAAAATTCTTTATGGGAATTGAATTTTAAGAAACATTCAATTTTTCAATAAACTATTTTTGTATTTAAATAATTGAATTCTCGTAGAATTTTCTAATAAAAATTGATTTTCATTTCATAAAAATGAATTTCAGTTAAAATTTTAGATTTAAATTGAATTTTAAAATCAATATGGCGTGAATTTTTAAAAATAATTGAATTTTGAAATTAATTTTTTTGAAAAAGTTTTGAATTGCATTTTTTTATATTGGGACGCATGATTATTCCCCAAATGTCATTTTTCCGAAATGTCATTTTACCGAACTGCACTTTTGCGAAGAGTCATTTCTGCGAAAAGCCATTTTTGCGAATAGTAATTTTTGCGAAGTCATTTTTACGAATTTTCATTTTTGAGAAATGTTATTTATGCGAATTGTCACTTTTGCGAATTGACATTTTTACGAATCGCCATTTTTACGAATTGTCACTTTTGCGAAATTTCATTTTTGAGAAATGTCATTTATGCGAATTGTCACTTTTGCGAATCGCCATTTTTACGAATTGTCACTTTTCCGAAAAGTCATTTTTGCGAATTGTCATTTTTGCGAAAAATACAATAGTGAATCTATATATACTTATACCTACAAGTTTACTATTGTATGTTTCGCAAAAATGACAATTCGCAAAAATGACTTTTCGGAAAAGTGACAATTCGTAAAAATGGCGATTCGCAAAAGTGACAATTCGCATAAATGACATTTCTCAAAAATGAAATTTCGCAAAAATGAAATTTCGTAAAAATGACTTTTCGCAAAAATGGCTTTTCGCAAAAATGACTATTCGCAATAGTGCAGTTCGGTAAAATGACATTTCGGAAAAATGACAATTGGGGAATAATCATGCGTCCCTTTTATATTATTTGAAGTTTTAGTTTCTAAAGTACCTATATTTAATTGAAGAATTTACGAATAATTGAAATTTCGTAAAATTGAATGTTATAAATAAATAGATATGAGAATTGTCAAAGAACTTTTTCGAAAATAATTAAAAATAGTCGATATTTAAAGAAGAATTTTAGTTAAAAATTCTTGAAAAAATGGAAAAATTTAATTTATAGTTTTAAGTCAAATGTTCTTTTATTTGACTGGGATTGGTTATATTTTTGTCAGTAATTGGTCCGAAATTTTTCATTTTTGGTCCGTAAAGTAAAGAAATTTAAAAAAAAATATATTTCAGTTTTTGGAAATTTTTTTTACGAATTGACATTCTTTTTAGTAAATGAAAAATAGATATTTAAAAAAATAAGTGAGTTTAATCCGGATATTTGATTAGGATCTCATACAATATATTTCTATATATAGAAGAAAATTTGTTAAAATCATTTTTTAAAATTACATAATATAAAGGTCGACAAAGTTTCCTTTACGAGGAAGCAAAGTTACAAAGATTCTAAATAATTTATTATTTTTCAATAAAGGCGAAAGATGCTGTGGATACCGAAATAAAATTAGAAGTTGAATCTGACGAAGAAGAAAGTAGAGCAGGACAAACTTCCTTCGATCTTGCTAGAAATAATTTGGATGTAAGTAATAAATTTAATTCATTTGAATTTTTCAAAAAAAAAGGAGAACAACATTAATTCATTATTGAAATTTTCTTGCAGATTCTCGAACTGTTACAAGAAAATTCGTCTTTAAAAGAAACATCAGAAACTGTTAAAGTAAAAGACGAAAAGGAATTGGAAGAAGAAGCATCGACGTGTGACGATTTTAGCAATGAAGACATAGCTTCCTTAGCCAGCATTCTCGATAGAACGGAAGGTTGGAAAAAATTAGCAGAGAAAACGGGTCTTGGAATTTTGGTTCCTGTATTGAGTAAAGGCAAAAGTAGCCCCTCTATTACCATATTAAGCTACATGAACGTGAGTGTGAAGTTTTTTTCAAAAACTAACAAATCTTTTCGTCAATGTTAAGCTCGTTTTTACCTAAGTCTATAATCTATATTAATAATCGTTTGCTTTTTTGTTTCCTAACTTTTTAATTATAATTTTTCTTTTTAAATGTTTTAAATGTACTGAAAATCATTGAATTCTTGCAAAGTATTATTTATTAAAAAAATTGAAAATAATTAAAGTCATTTCAAGAATTTTATCAACATTTTTTTCAATAATTGAATTCCTTCGAGAAAATGTAATTAAAATTGTATTGAAAATAATTGAATTGCTCTGAAAAATATTATTTATGAGAATAATGAAATTCTTGCTAAAAATTTTATTAAAATTTTTGAATAAAAATAAATAAGAATATTTATTATTATATACTAAATAAGTGAATTCTTTAAATTTTGAATCTGTAATTATTCAAATGTTGATGTTTATTCTTGAAAATATGAAATTTTTTAATTGTCAAAATAATAATAAATGGAATAACAAGTTCCGCGCTTGTGCGCGTATCATTTGCTAGTATAAATAATAATTTTTATTATTTTGTGCCTGATTAAAAATTTATTGAACTTATTTTCAGGATATAGGAAAAAAACTGTATGACGATTTAAGTGAATTGAAAGAAGAAGAGGCAGTTGAAGAACTTAAGAAAATGTTCAAAAAGAAAGCAAAAGTAGTATGAAAATTTTACTCGAAGATAGTTTTAAACTATTTTATTTTTACGACGAATTTATACATTTTATTATTATATAAAGAAAATCATATTGTAGATCTAGATTCAGTATTTTTTTACTAAATTTTTACTATTGATTATTGATTAATTAAAATAGGTATACATAAGGTTTTTATTATTATATTAGACTGTATTAAAGAAATTGTAATGTTTAGTTAGTACCGTCAGATTTAAGTGTTAAAAGATTAAGTTATGTTAACAAAGTTTCAATCAAAATTTAATTATGGGAAACTTTAACAAGTTTCAAATTAACTATTGCAGAATTGTGAGTGATTTTAAAATTCGCTCCGAAATATTTCGATAAGTTTAACGGAAATTCTGTTCAATGAAACTCTGCTATATAAGGATTGTAAATTGTAAAATTTTGCAAATGTATTAATTCTACTTTGTAAAAGTCGGTTTTATAGAAATTTGATTCAACAAATATTCCTGTATTTTCAGCGTTGGAGATGTTTATGCGTCTTCAAGCAGTGTGTTATAAAAATAGACAAATTTCAGACTGACTTAATGTAATTTAAATATTGTGCATTATATAATGTATTATAATGTAATATAATATAATTAATTTTAAATATTGATTACGGATCATTGATCAATAAAATTTCAGAAAATTTATTATTTTATGACGATCATTTTAAGAAACTTGGTAATTCAGTTTTTAAAACACTTTAGTAGTTGCAATTGGCAAGATTTTCAGAGCACTGAAATCTCCTCATTATTTAAAATCTTTTCCTCTTTTTATTTCTTTCTTGACGCAGGAAATCTTTAGATCCTTCCTAATTAAGGAAACATTTCAAAAAATAAATTTATTTATTTGCTTAAAAAATTCTTTGAACTTCTTGAATAAGGGAAAAAAGGTCGTTTTTTAACATTCGTCCGCCACACTGGATCCGCTGTTATGAATTTTTAAAAACTTAATCGGCGACCCTAAAAACCTCCGAATAACAAGTATCAAGCAGAGCTGGTATCAAGTTATTTGCCTCGAAGCGGCTTTTTCGCTTAGTTAAGAAATTACCATTTTTTCATTTCCTTTTTTATCAAGTCTTTGATAAATTTAGTTAAATATTGAATTTTTAAAAAAATTAAATGATAGTGCAAAGAAATAATTTGGTTTGCTTTTCTATACTTTGCTAGCAAAAATGTTACTTCAAATTTGATTTTGATGAAGGTCAAGACATATTTATAATCTAAAAATTTCTCTTCGCATAATAAATTAAGAGATTAACAATAAGAAATGAATGTTAAAAATTTTTGATAATGCAATTATTTTCTAAAATTTTTATAAATCCTTCTGAACAATTCAATTATTTTTTTAAATAGTAAACTCTTTGCAAAAATACAATTATTTTCAAAAAAATTTCACGAAAGAATTCAATTTTTTTCGAATTCAATAGGATATTTTTCATAATATTTTTCGAAAAAATTCAATTATAATTATAAAATTAAGTAAAATTATTTGCAAAAATTCAATTATATTCAAAATAATTTTACGAAAGCATTTAACTTATTTCTTAATTGTTTATAACAAATGTTAATAATATTCAATTATTTTCTAAAATTTTTAATAAATTCTTCGAAAAAATTCAATTATATTTATAGAAAAATTCTTTGCGAAAATTCAATTATTTTCAAAAAAAAATTTCACGAAAGAATTCAATTCTTTCTTAATTCGTTATAAATTTTCCCAAAAGAATTCAATTATAATTTCTAAAATTTTAATAAAATTCAATAATTAAATGTTTAATAATTTAAATTTTTTAACAAACACGATTATATTTTAAAAACTTGAAAGAAATTGTTAATAAAATTTCAATTATTTTCAAAATTTTTATTCATTATTTTAGAAAAATTCAAAAAAAATCTTCACAAAGAAATTAATTAGAATTTTTTAAAAATTTTATCAAAATTCTTCGCGAGAATTCAATTATTTTCTTAAAAAATAAAATTCTTTATCTGAATTGAATTTTAAGAAACATTCAATTATTTAATAAATTATTTATTTTTGTATTTAAATAATAGAATTCTCGTAGAAGATTCTAATAAAACTTGATTTTAAAATGAATTTAAGTTTAAATTTTAGATAATAATTGAATATTAAGCATTATAATGTAAATTTTAAATTTAATTTTTTTGGAAACGTTTAATTGAATTGCGAAAAGTTTTTAAAAATAATTAAATTTTACAAAGAATTCTATTAAAATTTTTAGCACACAGACATTCAATTGAATGTCTGTGTGGTATTTTATTACATTTTTTTGAAAAATAATTGAATTCTTAGGAACGATTTTATTAGAATTTTTTAAAATCATTCAACTTCCAAGAAAAAATTTATTACTTTTAAAAATAATAATTGAATTCTTGTGATGAGTAATGTTTTGCAAAATATTTTATTAAAATGCCTCAAAATAATTGAATTTTCGAGAATAATTTTGTTATTTATGTAAATAATTGAATTCTTGGGATGAATTTTATTAAAATCTAAAAGAATAATTGAATTATTTCGTACAACTTTATTAAAATATTTAAAAATAATTAAATTTTAGTGAAAAATTCTAATATTTTTGTACATAATTATAATTGATTTTTCCATGGAATTGAAATTAAATTTTTACAAATAATTACATTTTTGAATAATTCCTGTAAAATGTTATATTAAAAATAATTGAAATCCTGCGATGAATTTCATTATTTATGAAAATAATTGAATATTTGCTAAGAATTTTATTAAAATTTTCAAAAATAATTGAATTCCTGAGAAGAAGTAGTATTATTTATGAAAATAATTGAATTGCGAAAAATTTTATTGAAATGTTTAAAAAGAATTGAATTTCAGTGACAACTTTTGTTATTTTTTAAAATAATTGAATTCTTCATAAGAATTTTATAAACATTCTTTTAAATAATTAATTTTTTCGAAATATAATAAATATTATGGAAATTTTATTTTAAATAATTGAATTCTTGTGGAAAACTTTAATTGTGAAAATAATTGAATTTTTCGCGTGATTAATTTAAAGTAGTATTTAAAAATAATTGTAATTCTTCGATGAGTTTTATTATTTATGAAAATAATTGGATTCTTGCTTAGAATTTTATCAAAAATTGTTTTAAAAATTTGAATTTTCATGAAAAATATTATTAATGAAAGTAATTAAATTATTTAAAGTTTTTATTTACTATATAATATTTAATTGAAGAATTGCCGAATAATCGAAATTTCGTAAAATTGAATATTGTAAACAAATGGATTTGAAAATCGTCAAAAAACTTTTTCGAAAATTATGAAAAATAATTGATTTAGAGAAGAATTTTAGTGAAAAATTCTTGAAAATAATAAGTGAATTGGAAATGATGAAAATGATTATAGTTATGAAAAAATTTATTTTATAGTTTTAAGTAAAATGTTATCTTTTATTTTACTCGGACTGGTATTTAAATTTTTTTCATAAGTTTTTTTTTTTTTCATTTTCATTTTCATTTTTGGTCCGTAAAGTCCGTATCTTGAAATACTTTCACTGGTTCGAGCCCTGCTGGTAGTGAAAATCTTTCGTACAATGACCAACGATGTCCAAATCGATGTGAACTAAATCCACCCATCGGTTGCTGTTGACGAATGTTGAGAAAATCAATCATATCAAGTTGGAAAAAAATTATTAAAATTGTGCAAAAAATAAACCCTAAAAAATAAATGGATTAATTTTTAAATAAGGTAACTTTATTGATTGGCGTTTTTTTTTTTTTTCCTTCTGTGTTACTAAAACAAACATTTTTAATCTCTTTAAAGTAAAAAAGTAAAGATATTCATAAATATCTTGGAATAAAAGAATGAAGTACAAACAAGCTTTGTCTTACGATGAATTATTTTGTTGGTGTAGGTCTGAAATGATGCCTTAATTGATGTATTTTGATAAAGATTTAATTTTCTTAATACAAGATAATCACAACATAGCAGTCCATACCTGTCATTAAGATGTATACTTATATATATATAATATAAAGTCGATTAGAGTGATTGTTTTTTCATTAAATTTCAAGGAATGATAGTTTCTTGTTTTTTTTATTGGGAATTTTCATTTCCTGAACGAAAAATTATACATACATTAATAGCGAGAACGCTCGGGAATTAACAATTTGATTGTAATTTGTAGAAGATTTAATGGCACATGAGAATTAATGTTTCCTATCATTCCGGTACATTTTTTTTTTGTTTCTTTTTGTTCTAAGCAATATTAATCTCTACGAGATTTACTCATTCACATCATTCGCTTTTTGAATACAACTTGTAAAAATACAAAATATATTAAATTGTCATTTTTCGTTCATTGCACTAGAAATATTAAAAATCAGCTATGTACATAAAAAATATTTCAATGGCTAAGCCATCACCAAATACTGAAATGTAAATAATAATTTAACACAGCTTACTAAAAACAAAACAATGTCGAATAAAAAAAATTGCAGTGAGCTTTAAAATGTAAATGTATAAAAAATAAATTAACTACTTCTACGCATATTGGTTCCTTTGGGCTTATTTGGCATGCGGAGAACTTCTGCATATGACATGTCGAGTTTTTTGAGTTTGGCGATTTCCTGGGAGGCCACACTTGGTTTGTAATCTTTGTACTCGAAGCTCGAGTTGCTCTGATTGCTCGAGTTGCTTTGACTCGTCCTCGGATGGGAATTTGTGGGTCTGCGATCCTTCTTCTTGCTCGAGTAGAAGTGAGTGGTGTGGCCGTTCCAAACTCCGCTCTCCAGGTCCGTGTTCGTCAGGGGTCTGAACCTCCTCTTGCTGCCACTGTTCGACTTGGCGTTGGTGAATTTGGGATTGGTTGTTGGAATAACGTCGGGTGTGGAATGTGGCTCGACATTGAATGATTTCTTGGGGGAATTCTTCTTCGCAGACTTCTTCCTCGTCTGGATCGACAAGTAGTCCAGAGGCTGTCGCTTGTAGTGAAGAGGTCTGCTCGGAGTTTCACTAGTTTTCTCCGCCTCCACTTTATGGTGTCTCTCTTTATTGCTGAAATGCGGCGGAATCAGTTTGATGATTGGCTCGGACACCACCGAACATATCGTCGAGGACATAACACTTTGCGTATCGTCAGTCTCCTCGCTGCCAACTCCATCAGTTCCGAAGGAATAGTTCGACGAAATATTCGAAATATCCGAGATATTGTTCTGCGGCGATTTCTCGCTTTCCTCTTTGGCTTCGGCAGCTCGCTTCAAAGCGCTGACGATTTCACTGAAAATTTGCCGATACTCCGGCGTGTGGTTGAAGCGACTCTCAAATGTACTGTTATCATCATAAATACTCAATTTACAATTGTCGCCATCTGCAATTGAACAGAGGAGAGAACCAGGTCGGCCGTCGGTTTGAGTTGATTTATTGATTGTCTCGTCCGAAAATCCAGAGGACAGGGTTTCGGCTTCAGAGAAATCTGTAGGGGTGCTGGAAAACTTTTTCCCCGATTTTTTTATTTTTGCTGATTTTTCTTTTGACTCGATTATTGTTGTTGTTGTTGTTGCATTTTGGAAATTATTGAATTCTCCAGACATTCTGAGTTCTTCTTGAAGGGACAAGCAAGTGTTTTGAGCGGTTGTCTTGGAATGAGAATTGTGACCTTTATCGTCTGTAAAGATCATCTTGTAACTGTCCTGAATTTGATCCATTATTCCCATTTTATTGTTTATGTCCTGCACAGAACATAAAATATTTTTTTGTATTCATTACGATGCAAATGAATGAATAAAGGGACCTTGCTCATAGTAAACACATCTTTTTTTGGTAACATTGTGAGTTAAACACAAAATACAAATTTTATGGAAATATTTTGCAACAAGGACAAATCTTTAAAACAATTAAGGAAAACATGAACAAAATTATCCATTTTTAAGATGAATATTGGAGCAATAGGGGAACAGTTTAATGTGCTTGATTTTCACGAAACTTTTGTAATTTAAAACAATAATTATTAATTGTTTTATGTTTCTTTTACAAACTTAATAAATAATTGCATTTTTTATTCCCTATTTCTATATTATATAATTTTGTTTTTTTAATTCTGTTAAACATTTTTATCTCACATATGTAAGTACATATAAGCCTTAACACTATTTTTTAACTAATTACCAACAAAATTGAACAATCAGAATTGTAATGAATGTCCCATAAAAAACAAATTATTTATATATAATTAATTTTTTATTTATTAAGGAATTAATAAACACAACTAAAAACTAAACTAAACACAACCAAATTGTAGGTCATGTCATGAAACGGAACCTCTTGTTTGATGAATAAAACCAACTATTAAAAAACTCTAAAGGATTACTTTTATTTTTGAACCCTTAAATTTTGGTATGACAGCTTAAAAGGTAAATAAGTAGGTATAATAATTTTCTTAAAATTGATATAAAAATAAAATTTTCCATTTATATTAAAATTCATTTATTAATTTAAAAATATTTAAAAAAGTGCAGAATAACGCAAATTAAAGTATTATTGAGGTAAACTTATTAAAAAGTAATTAAGTCCGTGACAACCAATATTGAATAATTTACTTTTGTATTGTCAAAAATCTTAAGTAAATTTCTTGAAATTAATTAGTTTCGTGAATATCGATCACATACAGAATAAAAATATATATTATATTATTATATAAAGTACAAAATAAACTCTTCAGTGCAATAAAGGATACAATTGTGCATTTTGAAAAGAAAACACTAAAAAAACACTATAAAACACTATAAAACACTATAACTTAAAGCGTGCTATGCAGGAGAATAGGTAGTTTTAGTTTTCAAAGTTGCCACAAAAATTTAACTTTATTTTTCCCTGATTTCCAGACAAAATTTTAATTTTTTCCCTGACCCGAAAGAATATTCTGATTCACTCTAAAAATTATTAAAAACTCAAAAAAATGTTTATTTACGAATTTCTTTAATTGTAATATTATTGGAAATCATCAATAACTTCTTGTTAAATAAATATTTAATCATTATTATTTTTCCCTAAGAATTAAGATTTTCAAAAATTTCAAATTCAAACCTTTCTGTTTCTAAATTAAATAATTTATAAGAATCTTGTTACTGTAACTTCTTCAAAATTTATTTATTAATCAATATTATTTCAATTATTATCTAAAATTCATCTTTTCTAAATCAAATATTTTTTATAATTTTTGACAAAGTTCTTTCAAAATTTTCAAATCCATTTGTTTAAAATTCAATTTTACGAAATTTCGATTATTCCAGGTCTCGGATATTATGACTTTTTCAGCGCTTTTCGACTACTTTAAATAATGCGACGTTTATCGATTTTCTTATTATTAAAAAATTGCGACTTTTTTTACTTTTCTTCCAAATTTAGCTACAAAATACCACGTTTTTAAAATTAATTTAATATTCGAAAAATTACATTACAATATTTATAAAAAACTAATTCTTAGAATTGTTTTATCATAATTTTAAAAGATTCAATTGCCGTCGAACAAAATAAATTAACATTTTTTTAAATTTACTTTTTCAAACTTATTGAAATGTCTGAGAAATCATGTTCATAATTTTAATTAAAGTTCTTCAAAAATTTTATTATTTTTACAAAATATTTTTAAAAGGTTTTATCAAATTTCAATTTATTTTTTAAAAGATTTTACCAAAATTCAATTATTTTTTAAAAGATTTTACCAAATTTCAATTTTTTGGACATTTTTTAATTACGTATGTAATTGTAAAAAAATATTGTCTTTCAAGAATTCAAAAAAATTAATTTTCCAGAATTGTTATAGTTAAAATGATAAAAAATTCATATTTTCAAAGATTTTAATTTTTAAAACCTTTTTAAAATTAAATTATTTCTAAAAATTTACGTTATAATGATTTTAATATTCAATAATTATTATCTAAAATTTTAAATAAAATTCATTTTTAAATTAATTTTTATTAGAAAATTCTACTAGAATTCCATTATTTAAATACAAAATTAAATAATTTATTGAATAATTGAATGTTTATAAAGAATTTTATCAACAAATTTTTAAATAATTGAATCCTTTCGAGGAATTTTAATAAAATTTTTAAAAATAATTATATTTTTCGATGAATTTGATTGAAATTGTATTAAAAATAATTAAAATTCGGCGATGAGTTTTATTTTTTATGAAAATAATTGAATTCCTTAAAAGAATTTTATTATTAATGAAAATAATTAAATTATTGATGAATTATTGTGAAATTTTTATTATTTATGAAATTAATTAAATGTTGGCGTACAATTTTATTAAAATTATTTTTAAATAATTGAATTTTTTTGGAAAATTTTTGAAAATAATTTAAATTTTCACAAGAATTTTATTATCTATAAAAATAAATGAAATTTTGACGAGGATTTTTAAAAAATTTTGAACATAATTGAATTTCTGCAAAGAATTTTATTGCTTTTGAAAATAATTTAATTTTTGCAATTAATTATTGTTATTTTTAATAATTTATTATATTATTAAATATATATAAAAGAAATTAACTAATTTCAGAAGAATTTGAATTATTATGTATAATTTTTCAAAAATCTAAGTTCTTTAAAATTTCTAATTAAATTCATTCAAAATTGAAATTTTATAAAAATTCCAATTGAAACTTTTTGAAGTTGATCTATTTATGAAAACTATAAAGTCACCCCTTTTTAAAATTCAATTAATTTTTAAACAGTTAAGTGAAATTATTTATTAAATAATTTATAAGTAATAATTTTGTGATAGTTCTTAAAGAATGAAATTATTTGAAAAGAAAATATTATGAGAAATAGAAAAAATAGAAGTTTTTGTATGAGAATTCGTGGTAATTTCATATTTTATAAGGCAAACAGAAAAGACACCAAAATTCAGAATTTTCTTATGAATTCTAAAAATTAATTTTTTTCCATCACTTTTAATAAAAATCCATGACAATTTCCCCGACCAATAATTCTACTTTCCCTGAATTTCCTAACTTCCCTAACCTGTGGCAACCCTGTTCTCTATTTTAAAAATGAAGGCAAATAAGCGACTTGTGTATCTCGTAGTCAAAAAAATAATATTTAATAAACTAACAAAGATTTAACTAAAATTTATGATAAAAATTAAATTCCTAAATGTACTAAAATAAAATTTTGATTTATATAGTTTCGCAGTGGTGAAGGATAAATATGAAAAAGTCTATTTCAGTATTTCTGTATGAAATATATTCAAAGTAAGCGTATATATACCTATATCTATCTATAAAAATAATAAGTTAGTAAAAGCGATTAGAAATTCCTTGAATTAAAGAACGCTGTTAATCTAAAACTAATAATAATTAAATAATTTTATATAAAACAGAAATTTATTCTTAATAATTTTTACTAATAATTTACAATGTTAGATAATAAATAGAGTAAAAAATTTATCTTACGTGCATTTAAAAAAATACGCGTTATTTACAAGTGTTTAAAAACATATTCACGGAGATTGATCTTATATTTATAAAATTGCTAAAACTTGTAAAACATTGTCATGCATCTTTTGAAAAAGAACATTAAACATAATGTTAGTGAAAACACAAAAATAGTGTATGCATTATTTAAAAAAAAAAGTGTAACGAGAAGAATTGGTAAAATTGTAAAGCGACACAAAAGCTTGTCTAATTTGTTGGGTCGTCATTTTTGGTTATTGTCTTTTGAAATGAAACACCGTAACTTGATCGAAAAAATGAACAACATTCGAGTTAAAATTGCACACAAACTACATACCCTAGGAAATCTTTTTATACACAATCGGCAGTAAAATGTTGTTTAAAACAAATAACAGAAGGCGAAACGGATTAAATGTTGATAGATATTTTTTGAACAGACAATGGAACTTGAAATATTCCACTGACTCCGAAAAAAGACATAGAAGAGACGGCGCATTCCATAATATAGTGAATATTTTCCAGATGCTCAAAACAAGAAAATGTTTACGTTCTTTTTTTGCCGCTTTTGCCGTTTTTGCGGTTTGTTCTCTAATGCCTGTAGCAACAGCTTCCTAAGGCAAATGAAATGAAATTACTTTTAATGCTGAGTCCTAAACTCTTCAAGCCCGTCTCGCAGAAATAGTGAGTGTTTCTGTACATGTTCGGAAAAATGCTATTGTTATTATTCTCCTTGTCCTCAGTGCGGGACTGAATGGCTTGAAGAGTTTTGAAATGTCTAGTGAAAAGCAGGAAATGCGAAGCACAATATTTATGTTGCGAGTGTCGCTGAGCCCCATGCGAAAGCCGATTGACGGAAAAAAGCTCGAGTGTGTTACTCAAAGGTGAATTTACCTGCACCAGACAATTAGAGTATCCGTTGACGCCGTCCATGAAGGTTCCAGGTAAACTTATGTCGTCGTCGTCTTCCGGTATGTCGTCTCCGTTTCGATCCATCATCAGAGTCAACTCTTCGTGACTCCTCATGTTGATTCCCCGCAAGCATCGACCGCACAGGTGACCTTGTCTGCACAGAAAAAACATCATCATTCTTAAAGTCTATTTCATTCATTCTGCAACGCTTCAAAATTAGAAATCGCAATCGAAAGAATCTTGCGATTGCGTTCCCCATCGAGAATCTATTTTGCTTTGGCCTTAATTCAACTGTCCACATAGCAAAACACTTCGCAGGGAATTCGCAATGTGTAATTCCGTAAATCGCATGGCGAATTTCAAAGCAGATTTTAAAAAATCAAATTTGTAAGAGATTTTAATCTAATTAATTAATTAATTAATTAATTAATTATTAATTAACTATCTATATTAATTTGAATGTTCTTTCATTCTTTCATTCATTCACTTTTTCTGTCCCTCACACTCTGAAGTTGTCTTCTATTTATATTTTTGTTTTTGTTATCTTTAGATAAATTGTATATTATATTATTACTAGAAAATTTTACGCGCGGAACGTGATATTCAATTTATTATTTTTATGCAAATTACAAACATTTTTAATCTTCAAATATAAATTTTTAAAATAATTTCATAATCAAAATTTTAAAAATTCACTTATTAAGTACAAAATTAATTATTACTTTTCATATTTTCTAAAATTTTTAATAAATCCTTCGAAAAAATTCAATTATTTTTATAAATAGTAAAATTCTTCACAACAATTAAATTATTTTTAATCAAATTTAAATAAAATTACATGAAATAATTTAATTATTTTCAAAAATTTCCATAAAATGCAATTTCAACAAGAATTTAAAATTCTCTAAAAATAATTCAATTATTCTCAAAATATTTTTAAAAAATTTTATATAAAAATTAAATTGCATTCAATGCAATTTTTAAATATATTCGTCAAAAAAATTGAAAGAATTCAATTATTTTCAAAAAAGTAATAAAATTCTTGTGATGAATTCAATGATTTTCAATATACATAATTTTAATAAAATTCTTTAGGTGGATTCCACGTCAGTTCAACACACTTATTTTCATGACTTGTTGGGATTTGGCTGTAATTTTGTAAATTCATTACTTTTATAGTGATAAACAACTCCACCAAATATTTTTTCAAAATTTTGAAAATTACCAAAAATATGGCATTTTCAAAATTTTTGTCTTCTTTTTTTGAAAGTGCTATAACTTTGGTTCTAATTAACCGATTTTGGATTTTAAAAAAAGGATTTCTTTGGTTTTAAGTATATTTTAAGTTAAAATTAAAATAAAATAAAAAAATTCAAAAAAATTTTTTTTTTGAAATTTTGAAAAATTAAAAATCCGTTTTTGAAAAAACATCATCTTCGATTTTTTTCAAAATTTTACTAAATGTTAGGGCAAATGTGCTTTACATGTCCTGTAAGTTTTATCTTGGGATCTCAAAGGGATTCGGAGTAAAAAAATAAAACGTAACCACAAATTACGAACATATGGGGCAAAATTCCTCAACTACCCAGGTAAAACAATGAATTTTCTCTAAACTTTGCTGAAATGTTACTATTATTAGTAGAAGTGTAAATATTAATTTTTTTTGAATTTGATAAAATATTTTTTGAGTTATGGAGTTTCAAAATTTTGATTTTTTTGAAAATATATTTTTTTCGATTTAATATATTTATAAGTAAAATTAATCAAATTTAAAGTATGAATAGTGGTTTTTAAAGGGGTTTTCACGGGCTATAAGCTGGTGATGAAAAAAAAGTTGTTTTCTGTCAATTTGACCTTGAAATTCAAGGTCAAATTCTTAATTTCAATATACAGTAGAACCCGGTTAATACGATCCCGTTTAATACGATTTCCCGCTTAAGGGGATGTCAAAGTCGATGCGATTTTCCCATTGAAGCTCAATGCAAAAATCCAATCCACTTTGACACCGCCTTAAGGCGCTCATTTATGGTGGTCCCTGCAATTAAAGACATACATTTTATATCCCACCTAATACTTTTTCCCGCATAAGACGCATTCTTAGTGCGGTCCCTACAGAATCGTATTAACCAAGTTCTACTGTATCTCAAAATCGGTGTTTTTTAATTTTTTCTAACCTATCTCAATCGAAAGCTTACCTTTTTTCATATGAGCCATGTAAAACTCAGAGTGGGACCATGGATCTTTTTGAAGAAATTAATTATAAATCATCATTTTCTATGTAAAATAATGATAAATTATTATTTTCCTCAAAAATTCTCATGATCCCACTCTGATTCTTACATGGCTCATAGAAAAAAGGTCACCAGCTTATAGCCCGTGAAAACCCCTTTAAAAACCACTATTCATACTTTAAATTTGATTAATTTTACTTATAAATATATTAAATCGAAAAAAATATATTTTCAAAAAAATCAAAATTTTGAAACTCCATAACTCAAAAAATATTTTATCAAATTCAAAAAAAATTAATATTTACACTTCTACTAATAATAGTAACATTTCAGCAAAGTTTAGAGAAAATTCATTGTTTTACCTGGGTAGTTGAGGAATTTTGCCCCATATGTTCGTAATTTGTGGTTACGTTTTATTTTTTTACTCCGAATCCCTTTGAGATCCCAAGATAAAACTTACAGGACATGTAAAGCACATTTGCCCTAACATTTAGTAAAATTTTGAAAAAAATCGAAGATGATGTTTTTTCAAAAACGGATTTTTAATTTTTCAAAATTTCAAAAAAAAATTTTTTTGAATTTTTTTATTTTATTTTAATTTTAACTTAAAATATACTTAAAACCAAAGAAATCCTTTTTTTAAAATCCAAAATCGGTTAATTAGAACCAAAGTTATAGCACTTTCAAAAAAAGAAGACAAAAATTTTGAAAATGCCATATTTTTGGTAATTTTCAAAATTTTGAAAAAATATTTGGTGGAGTTGTTTATCACTATAAAAGTAATGAATTTACAAAATTACAGCCAAATCCCAACAAGTCATGAAAATAAGTGTGTTGAACTGACGTGGAATCCACCTTTAAAGAAATTCCATTATTTTCGAAAAAACTTTAATTGAATTTCTCGAAAAAATTTTATTATTTTAAAATATTTCTATAAAATTCTTCATAACAATTTAATTATTTCTTAAAATTTTTAAAAATTCTCGCGAAACATTTTAATTATTTTTTATAAATAGCAAAATCTTTCTAAACAATATTCAATTATTTTTTTGAATAGTAAAATCTTTACAAAAATCCAATGATTTTTAAAACAATTTTAATTGAATTCCTCGGATGAATTCAAATATTTTTTAATATTTCCATAAATTTCAATTATGTCCAAAAATTTTAATAAATTCTTTTTTAAAAATTTTAAAAAATTATTTTATATTATCATAAGAATATTGCTACTGTAACTTCATCAAAATTAATTTCATCATTTTAATTCAATTATTATTTCCTAGAATTTTAAATGATTTTTTATGAAAATAATTGAATTCCTTAATAAAAAATTTATTATTTATAAAAATAATAATTAAATTCCTGTGAAATTTATATTATTTATGAAAATAATTCAATGTTTGCATACAATTTTATTAAATTTTTTTTTAAATAATTGAATTTTTTTTGGGAAATTTTGTTAAAATAGTAGATATTAAAAATCATTGAAATAAGAAAAATGCATTTTATTTTTGAAAATAATTGATATTATAGGACAAGAATTTTTTTGACATTTAGGAAAATAATTAAACTTTGGAGAAGAATTTTGTTACTTATAAAGATAATTGGGATTTTTACAATTTTTTTTTAAATTTTGTACATAGTTGAATTTTATTTATTTATTTTTTTTAAATAGTTGAATTTCTGCAATTATTTGTAATTTATCCTAAATTGAATTTTTTTTAGTGTTTTCAACAAACATTTGAATTAGAAAGTTTTTAAATTCTATTATTTTTAAAATTGCTAATTTTATTTAAAAAAGTCAGTAAGAAGTAAGAAGAAGCTTTAGCGCGCGAATTGTTGCTATTAATAATATTATAATATTATACATTACTTTATAATAATCGTAAGTTTCCTTTCCGCTAGCAAATTCTCTGCATTCATTTGTTTGTTTTGAAAATTAATTTTTGTGGGTTATTGTCACTTTTTAATGTCAAAAAACCAAAAAAAAAATTCGTCACTTCACAAAATTGACACAAAAATTCCATTCCATATTTTTTATTTTCCTAACTTATTCCTAATTTTCATCAAAAATATTCACTTTTTTCTTATCCTGCTAATAAATTGAATTTCTTCTACGAATTTTATTATTCATAAAAGAATTTAAAATAATTTAATTCTTGCGAAGAATTTTATTAAAATTTTTAAATAATTCATTTCTTTCGAATAATTTTATGCAAATTCTAATTTAAATAATTGAATTGTTAAAAATTTTTATTATTCATAAAAAGAATTGAATTCTTACGAAAATTTTTATAAACCATTTTTTAAATAATTGAATTCTGTTTGGCAATTTTATGAAAATAGTAGATATTAAAAATTATTGAATTGCGAAAAGTTTTTAAAGATAGGTAATTAAATTTTACAAAGAATTCTATTAAAAATTTTGTCAATAATTGAATGTCTGTGGGAAATTTTATTAAATTTTTTTGAAAATAATTGAATTTTCCTAAAAAACATTTTATTATTTATGAAAATAATTGAATTCTTGCGAAAAATATATTACAAATTTTTAAAATAATGGAATTTCTATTAATTCTATTAATTAAATTCTTGCGAACGATTTATTAGAATTTTTTAAAATAATGGAATTTCCAAGAAGAAATTTATTACTTTTAAAAATAATTGAATTATTGTGATGAATATTGTTATTTATGAAAATAATTGAATTTTGAAAAGAATTTTATTAAGATACCTCAAAATAATTGAATTTTCGGAAGTAATTTTCTTATTTTTCGACATAATTGAATTCTCAGAAAAAATTTCATTAAAATTTAAAAAATAATTGAATTATTTAAAAAAAATTAATTAAAATTGTATTTAAAACAATTAATTTCTTTCGAATAATTTTATTAAACTTTTGAAAATAATTATTCAATCCTTC